GGGTGAGAACGTCGTCAGATGTATTGCCATGGACGGTACCGAGGGTCTCGTCCGCGGTTCCAAGGCCACCGACACTGGTGCCCCCATCAAGATTCCCGTTGGTCACGGTACCCTTGGTCGTATCATGAACGTCACTGGTGACCCCATTGACGAGCGTGGTCCCATCAAGGCCACCAAGTACGCTCCCATCCACGCCGACCCCCCGGAGTTCACCGAGCAATCCACCTCCGCTGAGGTCCTCGTCACCGGTATCAAGGTTGTCGACCTTTTGGCTCCTTACGCTCGTGGTGGAAAGATTGGTCTCTTCGGAGGTGCTGGTGTCGGAAAGACTGTGTTCATTCAGGAGCTGATTGTAAGGAGACACATTGTCTACTGGCTGAGCATTAGCTAACGGCAGGCAGAACAACATCGCCAAGGCCCACGGTGGTTTCTCCGTCTTCACTGGTGTCGGTGAGCGTACCCGTGAGGGTAACGATCTGTACCACGAGATGCAGGAGACTTCCGTCATTCAGCTTGACGGTGACTCCAAGGTCGCCCTTGTCTTCGGTCAGATGAACGAGCCCCCGGGTGCCCGTGCCCGTGTCGCTCTTACTGGTCTTACCGTTGCTGAGTAAGTCTTGAATACACTGTGTAAATGACTGAACGTAGCTAATTAGGACTGTAGATACTTCAGAGATGAAGAGGGCCAGGACGTGTTGCTCTTCATTGACAACATTTTTAGGTTCACCCAGTACAACACCCCCATCCAGCTCCACCAGTCGACTTGAGTACTGACTATAGTGCAGGGCCGGTTCCGAGGTGTCCGCTCTTCTTGGTCGTATCCCCTCTGCCGTCGGTTACCAGCCCACTCTCGCCATTGACATGGGTGTCATGCAGGAGCGTATTACCACCACCACCAAGGGTTCCATTACCTCCGTCCAGGCCGTCTACGTGCCCGCTGACGATTTGACTGACCCTGCCCCCGCCACCACTTTCGCCCATTTGGACGCCACCACTGTCTTGTCCCGTGGTATCTCCGAGTTGGGTATCTACCCCGCCGTCGACCCTCTTGACTCCAAGTCCCGTATGTTGGACCCCCGTGTCATTGGTCAGGACCACTACGACACCGCCACCCGCGTTCAGCAGATTCTCCAGGAGTACAAGTCGCTCCAGGATATCATTGCCATTCTCGGTATGGACGAGTTGTCGGAAGCTGACAAGCTTACCGTCGAGCGTGCCCGTAAGATCCAGCGTTTCTTGAGCCAGCCCTTCGCTGTCGCCCAGGTCTTCACTGGTATTGAGGGCAAGCTTGTCGACCTCAAGGACACCATCCGATCATTCAAGGCTATCTTGACTGGTGAGGGTGACGACCTTCCCGAGGGTGAGTCTCGACTATCTCCGCATTCATAGCGTATGACTGACATTTCTAGGTGCTTTCTACATGGTTGGTGACTTCGAGTCAGCACGCGCCAAGGGAGAGAAGATTCTTGCTGAGCTCGAGAAGTCATAGACGGACTTTGATGGTGGGTGAAGAGTCGGCCAGAGTGTCTAGTGCAATTCGCTGGTAGTCTCACTTTGTACAAAAGATATACCTCTGAAACTGTGGGACTTTTAAGCGGGTGCTTTGATGCGTGGCTTCCTGTAACTTATCGTGCATGAAGAGACAGCTTTTTCTTGTTCAACGCACCTCAGTTTTTCCCTGTTCGTGACATATGCACCTCTAACCATGGGGACACAGTGTAGTATCTGTGCTCGTGATCTTTCTAATAACATCGTTCACTAGCTTAAAGAGAGGAATTAAACATCTCTTTAAGCAAAATACTTATGCCTACTACAACAAAGCGTGTTAAGACCTTCCTAGACATAATAGAGAATCTAGAAGTCTACAATGTTATTAGTCTTGCTAGACTTTCTTCTTAGAAGTTGATGTAGGTGGTAAGTAGAGTTTGTTATCTCTGTACCCGTTTGAGTTTTCTATTGTATACGATGGTTCTTGGTCTAGGGAATGGCTGCGACTTGGTTCAGTGATATATGTTGATGCTCGTCCAGAAACATGTTCCAGGACATTATTCCTCACCGCTTGATGGTATCAAATCGACGTAATAGCGTATTTTGAACACACGTGGTGATGTTACTCTGTTGAACAACAGCTGGCCATACGTATAGTTCCTCTCCCCACGCCTAGAAACCGATTCACAAGCCTAAGAGCAAACACTGAACTAAAGTGGCGGGCTGCCGACATTGGAAAAGAGCTTTGGCAATATACATACAGCTTGGGATATATATAGAGGGTCTAGGTCGAGGAATTTGTCCATAGTGGTTATAGGTGTGTAGTAGGCAACGCATGTATGCTGTAACCCAATCAGTCTTAAGCTTGGGAGATCACCCGCTTTCGCTCTTTCCAACACAAGAATTGCCAGATGCCGGCAATGCGCTGGGATCAAACTACGGATCAAAATTGATTCAAGGTACCATGCTATTGATAGCAAGGATCAACATTGCAGCTTAACAAGGTACTAGGACATAAACGACCGAATATGAGGAGTTGTGATAAATAGTCGAGATCACACCATGGGCGCAAAAGTACGTGGACTCATCTGATACGTACTACATGATACATGATCGTAGTAGCAGCGCCGCATTTAAACATGCTCGTTGAATCCAATATTGAACATTCTCCTGAAGTATCTCGCATATGGTCAAGTGCTTGTGTACATCCTTACCATCTTTCTAGAGACGACCCTTACACTCATCTTCCTTCAACTAAGTCAACGGCATGGATTGTCTTTCAAGCAGCGGGTGCGCAGAGCAGGTCATCGTATTAGAATCAATACAACAGGCTTCCTAAGCGTGCGAGCAGTTTCGAGTGTGGCCTAAAGTAGTAAAAACTGCAAACATTAGCCACACATCTGAATAAAGTCTCTCGTGAGCGGTCGGGAAGGTATTGCCTCAGATATGTTTAATAAAGAATGATACACATGGTGATATTTACATGACTGGTTGTTGTGATTCGCAACAGATATTGACTGGCAAAGCTCCGATCGTCAGAAGACCTTTGGTGGCCATGGTCTATATTCTACTGAAACCAGAACAGTATTTGGTGTTTAATGGTAGCCATTTGCATGGAAGTTGCAGATATACATGAGCACGGGCTCAGCTCTTCAGCTCTGGACTCAGTTGGACTGCAAGTAAGCTTCGCACTCCGACGTAACCGGCCGCGGTCTCACCCTCTGTCCACGGCTAAAAGTATGCTATCACGAAGCTGACTTATCTCCATCCGGTGTGTACTGCAAAGATTACGCTCGGCCGCGGATGTGGTCATGTACGCTCAATACCACTATTGTCAGCTGTGTAACATATCGCCTGTGTACCATCGGCTCTACGTATATACCCATGTAAGTCCGAGTACGATTCTATGCTTATGCAATCACCACTTGATGTAACATGGCATTGATATGGCGTGTTGTTATTGCTTTTGATCCACTGCTTCCTTGTTGCACCTCTCCGGATCGCCACGTACACTACCCGATGTATATGCTTCATGGCCGGTGCTCTGTCATGTATGCTATCGTGCTGATGTCGTTCGTGGTGACGATTCTGCAGGCGGCTGTGCATCAAGAATTCGTGATCATCGATAGCGTTGGGCTCTTTAGTTGGCAGATAGAAGGACGTATTCATTTCCAGATGGTATAATGGAGATTGGACATTCCGTATCGCCCATGTTGGACGACGAACGGCTCTTGTGCTATCTCATCTGTAGGCTGTGACGCGCGTTCAACTGTATTCGAGACATTCGGGATAAACTATATAATGTTAAGCATGTTAGTCGGTACATTCAGTTAGTTGTCACTTGGCTATCGTGGTACAACCTGACGTGACGAGGGTAGATAGCCTTGATTTGGGAGTTGGGCAAATCGTACAGCGTGCCTCCTACACGTGATCGAAGTTGAAAACCGTCAGGCAAACGCGAAAAGCCTCTAGATTTCTGTACAATGAGGACTATTATGACAATGGCCGATCGGCAGCCGCTCGTAACGCTTTCGATCTTGTTGTATGTGACACAGACAGTACCAAACGGAAATTGACCCAAGGAAAATGTGGTATCGGTATTGGTATGGTGATTGTTGTGACTCTTCTATTCGGACACTTTACTCGTCGTTGAGCTTCTGGCCCGCTGGGAGGTCCTTCTCAGACTTGCTCTGTACCATCATTCCCTTGTAGCCGGTGATGGGCTCGGTTCCTTGCGACTGTGACGTGTTAGTACTGATACGTATACAAAGGGGGTTTGACAAAAGCGTTGGAACTACGCACCTTCATGTACTCCTCGGTGGCTTCTTGCCATTCCTTTGTCATGGTACGGGGTCGGATGGGACTGGCGAACATGCGCGTGAAAGCGAAGATCGCAAAGGCACCGGCGATGACGGCAGAGGAGAGGAGGAAGACGTTGCGGCCCTCATCCGGAGGCGGGGGTCGGCGAGGACCGTGGGGGCCAAAGGCGATGAAATAGGCTGTGTGCAGAGCATGTTGTCAGTGCAATGTTCATATCGATAATTTCCCGGTACGTCGCGATGGCCTCGCGTAGCGCGCACCAGATGCCGCGGGCTAGCTCGGGTACCTCGTTCATAACACAAGATACGTCATAATAGCTCTCGCGACATCCAGATGCGCCTCATGGGATGGTACACACCGGCCTTCTTCTCCTGCATGGTCAACTCCTTCCAGTCGGTCTTCATGCGGTCCCTAAGTGTCATCCACAGGTCGGCCTGCTCCTGGGGAGGCATGTCTTCCCATCGCTTCTCGATGTTGGCAAGGGTTGGGTTGGAGATGGCGTGGGCCTGGCGGGATTGCTGGAGCTGGCAGGCTACCGGGGCAGCTCTGGGGAGAGCGGTACGGGTCGCGGTCGAGGACATGGCGGCAGCCGAGCTCGAGGCCCGGATGATAGATGAGCGCAGCATGGCGGCGGGCGGAGTGGAGAGTGTCGAAAATTGAAAAAGAAAGGGAGAAGCTTCCCGTCGAGGGACCTACAGCTGCCAATGGATCGTGGTGGTGATGGAGTCGATGGTGGGCCAGGAGAGCTGTCTTGCAAAATGTGGTTGCGGGAGGAACGCCAAGGTGGTGGAACGATCAATCTTCTGTGGCCCGAGCGCCCCAGTCGACCTAACGCCTAGCTCCTCATTGGCCGCGATAGCCTTCTATCGTGGGATGCGAGAGCCTCATTCGGATTCAATACAAGGGCTACCATGAGGTCAACGCCGTGTGATGGCGAGAACAGGACTACAATGAGTGTTTGTGAAGCATGCCCTTCACTGGGCGGCTTTTGTACTCTACCGAGGTGATACACAGGATTCGGACATGTGTAGATATCGAAGTACGGTTGCAAGGAGGTCTTCCTGACACTCGAGCATTTCAACAGCATCTCCATATTCGTCTTGACTCAGACGCGGCCGGCTAAGGGCCTCTGCTGGATGGGTGTGCTTGCTTTCTATGTGAGCTGTTCGGTTGCCAGCATCACCCTTTGGGTGGAAGCAAGTATTATGATATCGCAAGAAATAAGACAAGACGCTTCGGACGTGTTGACTCAGGCGCATCAAAAGACCTGGATTGACTTATATAACTTATACACATTCGCATCACTCCCCTATTTGGGTACCTGAATGAGCACGTAACTTGGAGCAGAATGCTCGCAAATTCCCTCAAGCGCGGGGTAGATCAGTTTTGCAAGGATTGGACAACGCAAGTCAATGGAGTTTGTGTACCTGCAAATCTCGTTGGAAACCATCAGCTACAAACACTGAACTCATTTTCCAATTTGCATGGTAGACGCGTCTGAATCGCTGTAGCTGTCCCGTGATCGGAGGGTCGGTGCACCCCAAATATGTCGGGGCCGGCATTGGCCTACATCGTCGTCTGTAACTCCGAGCTTGAGCTCAAGCTGTAGCTCGAGCTTTCCTTTGCTGCAATAGCTATATGCAGGTACCTAAGCACTTTGTTTAATCGCCGTAGGCCCTGGCGATCATGTGGCGGGCTTGAACTGCTTTATAACACAGCTCTGTCCATCATAGTGCCATCGTGCCGGCCGCGGATACGCCACGCCTCATCTCAAACCATACTCGACTTTGCCTGGCGGAGAGAATCTCGGTGGTGACACAAAACACTCGCCTCCCCACGAACCGGTGATCCGATCAGACTCTGCTGCGCGCTTTGCTTTATCTTATCGAATGACCAAAAGATCTTGCCCACGAGAGCGACAACGGCTGCCTGACCCGCGCAGAGGTGTTTTTGATTGCTAGTCTGTGCTCCCGCTGATTACGAGATGCACATATACTTCTTTCGTAAGAGTTTTGACAGAGTGATGTCCTGGGTGGCGTGCCGGGCCTGTATGCCCGGACAGCCGTATGCAGTGTCTATGCGAGGCTGCGAATACAGTATCACCAGAGCACTTGGCGTTTCAGTCACGAAGGCGTCTGGAGGCATTTACAGGTGCCTCGGTCAGGTTACCCTCAGGGTGGTTCTGCCCGAGCTGCCCGGCTTGCTCTCCGGTGTAGTCCGCGGCCTCGTGTGATGGCGATATGCGCCCCCCGAGGCTGTAGACAAACGTACTTGGCTTGTCAAGCAGGTAGCCGGCCGGAAGTGTGGGAGGGCGCAGAGAGTGTAATTGGGCCTAGGCGGCGCTGCATATCGGATTACAGAAAAAGAACTAAAACCTGTGACGTCCTCAAGCTGGTTGCTATTTAGCTTGCCCCTCCCTCACCTGGGCACCCCACCTTAGCCCAGACCCAACAAAACACTGCGCCCGACACAAAACTCTGTCTCTCACCACTTCTACATCAGCTTATATCCTATAAAAGAGTGAGCCCTGTTCAATTGCTTTCCTTCTTCCTCAGCTTATTGACTTTCGCAGCACTACACTCAGTTCATCATGGTTGTCAAGGTAAGCTTCATCCATTGCCCCGCTGGGTCAGGAGACAGCTGCTAACATGTCCTCACAGGTTGGTATCAACGGATTCGGTCGCATTGGCCGTATCGTCTTCCGCAATGCGTAAGTTTCGCCCAACTCGTCGATACAATCTACCAAAGCTGACCGCATGCCACAGTATCGAGCACAACGACGTCGACATTGTCGCCGTAAACGACCCTTTCATCGAGCCCCACTACGCTGTAAGCTTCCCCAAGCACCTACACTACAGCCGCGGCCATCCAAATTGCGAAAACAGTTCTTGCGATGCGCTAGAGCTCCTGTGGTCGCAGAATGCAGGCTAACACATTCAGGCCTACATGCTCAAGTATGACAGCACACACGGCCAGTTCAAGGGTGAGATCAAGGTTGACGGCAACAACCTGACTGTCAACGGCAAGACCATCCGTTTCCACATGGAGAAGGACCCCGCCAACATCCCATGGAGCGAGACCGGCGCTTACTACGTCGTTGAGTCCACCGGTGTCTTCACCACCACCGAGAAGGCCAAGGCTCACTTGAAGGGTGGAGCCAAGAAGGTCGTCATTTCTGCTCCCTCTGCTGACGCCCCCATGTTCGTTATGGGTGTCAACCACGAGACTTACAAGTCCGACATTGAGGTTCTCTCCAACGCCTCTTGCACAACCAACTGCCTTGCCCCCCTTGCCAAGGTTGTCCACGACAAATTCACCATCATTGAGGGTCTCATGACCACCATCCACTCCTACACTGCCACCCAGAAGGTCGTTGACGGCCCCTCCGCTAAGGACTGGCGTGGTGGCCGCACAGCTGCTCAGAACATCATTCCCAGCAGCACCGGTGCCGCCAAGGCTGTCGGCAAGGTCATTCCTGAGCTCAACGGCAAGCTCACTGGTATGGCTATGCGTGTTCCCACCGCCAACGTTTCCGTTGTCGACTTGACTGTCCGCATCGAGAAGGCTGCGTCCTACGACGAGATCAAGCAGGCCGTCAAGGAGGCTGCTGATGGCCCACTCAACGGTAAGCTCTGACGTTCGAATTTTATCTGAACATCCATTCTAACGTATTGCAGGTATCCTTGGCTACACCGAGGACGACATCGTCTCCACTGACTTGAACGGTGACAACCGCTCCTCTATCTTCGACGCCAAGGCTGGTATCTCTTTGAACAAGAACTTCGTCAAGCTTGTCTCCTGGTACGACAACGAGTGGGGTTACTCCCGCCGTGTCCTTGACCTCTTGGTCTACATTGCCAAGGTTGATGGCAATGCTTAGGAGTCAGGACAGAGCCAGGCATTGCCTAAACTCTGAGTTCATTTCTTTATGACCGACTAAAAAGATCGGACTACCTTTGGCTAGGCGCGGACACCGCGGGGATGAAAATAGGGGTTGACCATGAATCCGTTATGCTAGACATGAATCAATGAATAATAATTGTCACAAACAACGTTTCCTTTGACCAACTGAATGTGAAGTGACATTAGAGGTCCTGTCGTCCGGATGCATGACAGTGGAGCTGCCCCTGTCAATGCATTTTCTAGCGCTTGTTTGCAAGCTAGTTCCCGAGGTACGACTCTCAGGCGAACATATACATGTACGCGGATCCCTTTTTCCCGCTTAGTTCCCGGCCTTTCGTTTACGTCCCGTAATCTGGCGAAACATTTTGCGGGGAAGAACGGATGTTCAAGGTGGCTTCCGTGATGCGGCATCTGTAGGCATGGAAGTGGTTACTATCGGCTTTGCGGTAAGATGTAGCCATGCTGAGAAGCCCTTCAGCGAATGCATATGGCCTTACATTCTACAGGCTCCGAAACATCAATTCTACTCTGCGAAGGCACACCACTTCTAGTCTGTGAAGGCACACAATGAAGCATCGTGGTATCATCGACAAAGAATACTAGGTAGACACGTGGCCTTGCTCTGCTGGCTTTCGAGATGATCGTGCTGAAAAGTGGATGGTAAGACTAGAAAATCACCCGTCACAGCAGGCTCCTTCTCTGCGAAGTCTTCTTCCATACTCTGCCATGCTCTTGTGATATGCGTTCAGAAGTGAGAGTCGACGGATAGCGCTAAATACCTTGGCATTGCTTAGTCATACAATGGATCTTGACCGCGTAGGGAACTCGCATTGCTACGCTCCACCTTATCCTCTACTTTGAAGCCAAGCATCAGCTATTGCAGAAAGCAAAAATCGGTTCTTCACTTTTAACCCACATCGAATTACTACAGCGTCGGCATCACGTAATTAAATAGCGAGCGTGAGTGAACCCCGTGGCGGTTGATGATCCATCTTTGACACGACGCGACCAACAATATTGTGACGGAGCTCGTCTTTTCTTAGCTTATAACTTCATGCAGGAAAGGCTATCCCGAAATTAATACCTTTGTTATATTCTCAATTCAACTTAAAATGAAGTATAGCGATTGGCTTTAGGGTACTTTTCCTGCACGAAGCGACAACTTGAAAAAGACGAGCTTATCCATACCATGTCTACGCGTCAACGAACTCTGCTTACGGAACTGCAGGGCAAAATAAGCCTACGATATTGTAAACAGCGAATTAGTACTAAGGCTTTGTGCCTTCACCTGACAATAGCGGCGAAGTGCGACTCCAACCACATTCTACCAAATCATCAGCAACTTATTGGGTCTCGATGTGGTAGCAACCTTGCCGGTAAGTGCCTACAGTCCTACCAGTATCAAAGAAGCATCTCAAGCAAACATGCAACTTCTTCGCATGGAGCAAGCATCATTGTATACTAGGTTGCCGACACTCAACGTATTTCCTAGTTCTCCAACCTACTCGTCTTCTAGCATATCTGGTGACTTATCTGTTCAGCGTACTTTCCCAAAGTCATGAACTCGTTCAGATAGGCCATGTGACAATCGCGTGTGCCAGTCTCGTCGCTAACGAACATATATAGCTCTCAGCCGGCGACTGTAAGCGAGGCGTTTGACGTCCGCTTTACCCATCTGCGTAGTCATGGACGACGAAGACTATGCTATGGAAGAGGACACTATCGTCACTTCCACAGAGCTTAATGGCAATCATGTACCAGACACCATAAACCCGAACGAGCTCTTTCGTAACAAAGGACCAACATTGTCCAAGAGAGAGCAATTACCTTTCCACAGTCCATCGAAGAACACCTCGTTCCTGCAACCGGGAACCATGCAAAGCCAATCTGGATCGCACCGAACAACGAAGTCACCGAGTGGGTGGTCGGATAAGATGAGCATGCCGCGTCCCACTCCTGTTCGGCGCTCAAGTCCGCAGGTTCGCATACCCCCAAAGCCAAGATCTTCCCTCCTTCCGTATTCGACCAACAAAACAGGCCTTGTGTATGACTCTCGTATGCGCTTTCACGCGGAGCTTCCTGACATGAATCTAATCGACGATATTCATCCCGAGGATCCGCGTCGCATTCACTCCATCTACGAAGAACTCAGGGAAGCAGGTCTAGTGGCAACAAGCGATACGGATGAGG